AGAGAAAGAGGGACCCAAGTGTCATTCCTGGGTAGGAAGGTACTGAGACCCGGGGGTGTGAGAAGGAAGCCCAGTGCCCGTGACCCAGGACATGGCCTGCAAATGCCTCCCAGCAGCCCTTCAGTTCTTTGTTATGTTTGTCAGCAAAGCTGATACCAGGAGTCAGCACTTTCTTCTGCATGGTTAATGCACAGGCATCAGCTTTTAATGCAAAAAGCAAATGCACCAGAGTCAAGGCACACCCAGGAAACATTCTAGAGCAGCTCATCCCGTCTTTCTGAGCTGCGGTGTCCCTTTTAGGAGATGGAGAATCCTGCCCACTTTGCAGGGTCTTATGGGAAGTGCGGCCATGTTGCAAGGCACGGGGTAGATCACCGGCAATCAGAGAAGCTGTTCTTTCACCCACAAGGGGAAGTTTTAGAGGGACCCTAAATCCAGACGTAAAAATGAAAACCACGCCTGTGGAGCCTGTGAGCAGTGCCTCAGCTCACCGGCCGCAAGAACAGGATCAATGACAGTCACACAGCCAAGGAGGCCAGAGGGTTCCCTGGGAACACACGTGTCTCCTTTACCCACAAGTTACCGAGAGAGATGCCCTTGCTCTACCTGTGGACAGCGCGGGGTGAGGACGTGCCGTCTTCAGCTGCTACCATTTTGTTACCATCACTGGGACCCCCAGCTCTGCAGGCTTCCTGGGTCACGGGCAGGATCCTCATGCCACCGGAAGCTCTTAATGCCTACACAAAGGCAGTGCCAGTGGGACTGGCAAGTGACAATGTCCATGCAGTCTGAGAGCTCAGAGACTAAAGAGTCCCACTTTCCTTCCCTGGACGAGGGCACCAGAGAAGACGGGGAAAGGGACTCGCCCAGGGCCCCCCATTGTTAACGGCGGGGCGGACCCTAGGACGAGTCAACACTTGTGAATTACAGCCAAGCGCCCTTCCTGCAATGTCCAAACTGTGGCTGTCTATGCAAACGATGCCCTGCCGAGAAGCTGGTCTCACTGGAAGATTCATGCACTTTCTAGACCCAAAGCTTTCTGCTCCTTGCGCATCTCTGGCCTCATGTGGGAGGTTGATGACCCAGGCTGCCCTGATCTCTGCACATCACCATCCAAGCACAGCTGCACATTCACATCTTTCTGGCCTGATGCCCTTCTAGTCCCTGCCAGTTATGTCACTGTGGGAACCCTAGCAAAATCCTCCTGTTCCGGCCCCTCTCACGACACCTCGTCCTTTGCCTGCCCTTCCTGATGGGGCTCTATCCATCACGCTTTCTTCAAATGAACCCCTGAAGCCTGCTGGGTGAGTTCCCTTCTCTGTTTGGTCACATACCTCTGTTTATACTGCGATTACAAGTCTTTCCATCCCAATGACAGCAACTCAGACCTCTCTCTCGCCTACACATGGGATCAGGAGAGCAGAGACTGGAAGCTTTCATCTCCCCCAGGTACCCAGGTCACCTGGCACAGGCTGGCGCTTGACAAGGACTGAAGAATGGAAGTGACCAAGTACCCACTTTGTGCAAAGCTGATGGGGATGTTAAGGTGTGCAAGTCAAGGTCCATCTTCTCACGTGCTGGATTTCTGGATGAGAAAACATAACTAAGGGAAAGACTCAGAAGTTCTG